AGAGGCAGTTGCTATCTCCTCCTTTGCACCAAATGAAATTACCCCCCCCCCAAGAGGGAGCTCCAAGAAGCCGCATTCATCAATCACATCATTAAATTCACCCATAAGGTTATTGTACGTCTAGCACCCCTATAATCATCGTGACATCGCACCAAATTAAAATCACCCACAATGCATATAGGATCCTGACAACTCTGACCGAGAGCACGAAGATCACTGATAAAGTCAAGTTTTTCCTCCCTCTCCTGCGGCCCATACACCACAACCAGATGCCAAGTCTTATGCGTCTCAATTTCTTGGAACTTGACCTGAAGAAAAAACCTGCCCACAGAGCTTGCGAGCGCATTGACAAATAATTTATCCGAGAAGACAACAATCCCACCAGAGCTGCCATCCGCATCTTTGGTCGCCCACCCTGCATCCGAGACCCCGCCCACACTGCGGATCAAAGACTCATCACAGATACTCCATTTTGTTTCCACCAATCCCACAATTTTGGGTCTCCTGTCGCTAACAATCGCTTAACTCTGGCTCTTTTGTCCCTGTCGCCAAGCCCCCTCACATTCCAAACTAAGACTTACATATCCATGAGAAGCAAAATAACCCATCAATCATCCCTCCTCGCTCGCCGACGAGGCCCTAGGGGAGCCGCCACAGTCGGTCCGAGACGACGTCTTTCCATTTCCAGCTTTGTTCTGCACGGACGAACCTTTCTCTGGGGTAGGTCCTTGGCCTGGCTTCTAATAACCCGCTCAACTTCATCTTGGCCTCCATCACCATCCAACGAAAACATAACCCCAAATCAACACTTATGGACTCCAAAGTGCCCAGATCAAAGGGAAAAACATCTTGACTCCAAAACCTAGGCTGACTATCAGCAACACAAGACGGGGAGGGGAAATCAAAATCAGGGGGCTCCCAACCTCACGGTCCGATTGCAAAGGGGAGAGCGACTCCGCAACATTCCGCAGGGACTCCGGAGGAGAACCCTCTGCCGCCCCCTGACTGCCCTCCAACATCTCAACACGACTAGAGGGGGAAGAATCCTCTTCAAAATAGATTTGAATAACACCTGGAGAAGGACAGTGAAACACCACCGATATGCCTGAGAACGGCTGCATCATCTTAGAAAATAAAGCCGAAAAGATCCTCCCTGAAACCACAGGGCAAAAGAAAGTGATAAAAGGGACTGAACCGGTTTACTCGGACGCATACATCTTAGCTCCGACAGAAAAAACGGACCAGGGAATCGCACAAGCCCATCGACAAACTACCAGGCATGGGCCCAGAAGCGGACCCATTGCTATAGATAATTAAACCCGGCCCAGCAGAAATAGACGCAGGCTCGACGAACCTGTCGACCGACTCTGGAGGGGTGGGCCTGAGTAGCGGCCCAAATTTCCTAACCCACACCTTCTTAACCCGTCCTGAGAGATCTCCAACCCTAATAGTGTTTGAGCCTCCCTGTACGCCCCCATGCATGCTCGAAGATCCCTCTAAAGATGGGCGACCCGCCCTCAAAGTACGACGCTTCAAATTCCTCATAGAAACTCGCGAGACAAACTGGCTTTGGGAGCTACCCGTGCTTTGAGAAACCCGAAAATCCTCATGACCTTTCGACTTCTCCCCTCTCTTCCCTTGCTCCGACTCGCGCCTCCCTCCCGACAGAGACGCCGGCAAAACTTTAACATCCACGGTGAACCATTGATCTTCATAAACCAGGGGGATTGAAGATGATGTAGATCCCTTTGCAATCACCTTCATGCGAACACAAGAGGATGCCCAAGAATTCCAATCTATATCCAACAAATTTCCACAGAACTCTCCAATAGTTCTGATAAGATTGACGCTCTTAAGGTGCAGAGGGATTCCGAAGACCAACATCCAACAAGCATCATCCAACCGTGGAGCCCCCTCGTCTATCTCCTTCCACAAATAAGTTGAGACAAGGAAGTTCTTAAACTGATGACCAGCCAGACTATTAATCCTCATTAGTTCGCGTAAGCTTGGGCAGATTAGCAGCCATCTACCATCGTCAAGTTCCTCCAAACCAAAATTAGAATCACTGGCCCAAGTCTTCTCTGCCCATCTCCTGAAACCGCTCAACTGGTCCCTCGAGAAAACTTCGTGGCCAACCGATTGAAACCTGATAACCAAGCAACGCTCCAGCGTACCGGACCTTTCCGAGACTCCTTCCTGACCCACTCTAATAAAAATTCCACTTGAATCCTGTACAATAGAGCAACTACCAACTCCATAGAAGCCCCCACCTCTGACAACATCTGCATAAGATTTTCGCAGAGTATTAAGATTTGGATGTAGCGGGGCCTCAGGCAGATCAGTCGCTGACCCCAAAGTCTCAAACATATCGACACGCAGTTGATGCTCGTCATGATAGAACTCTTGGACGAGGGCGATAACACCTGCCAGCCTTTCGATCTTCCTGCCGCTGGGATGAGGACCTTGAAAAGTCGCCCGCTCGGACTCTGCTCAGAGATTTGCAACTGCACACCCTTCTTCCCAAACCTCTTCCCGATATGGATCGAGCGCAGAACGCTCTTCTTCACACACCCTGTAGGAAACCTCCACTGCCTCATTGACGCCGTTTGTAGCACCCCTTGAAGCCACGCTAGCTGAACTTCGTCCATCACAATGGACCATTTTTTGTTCGATTCTTGCACCGAAAGCCTGTATCCGACCGCATCTCCAAACAAACCTCTGCACAAACAAACAACCCTGGATCCCAAATGCGAAGCCCGCCGACACCTCTCTCAAGAGCCGCCACCATCTCCTTGCTCCGACACCTGGGACCTACAAACAGAAGAAGAAAACCATATCCCCCTCGGAACCCCGGTGCTCACCCTCTCGGAATCTCTCACACACCTGCTCTCAAAAGATCTCCGACTCTCAGAACTCATATTTTACCGTGATTAATTGTTAGTCACGATAAATTGGGAGTTTCGTAGATTACTGCATTGGTTTTCCTGGAAGAGTTATTTCGACTTCACTGTACTGTGGTCTGTGCTAATGAATGATGTTTTAGAGAAATGGAATCGATCTAGTGGTAATTACCAGGATATATGATGAGCAGAATTCGATCAATACTAATTGTTCCAATACAATAAGAAATTTTTGACAAAAATAAAATAAATACAATAAGAACTAGCCAATGATGAGAAGGAAAAAAAAAAATCCCCTACTCTTAATTCCCCTTCACCGGTTCAGTGGTGAGTCCAAATCCAAAGGGGAAGAGCGGGTCATAATGTTTATCCCCAACATTCATAGGCAGCTGATCCACTCTCCTAAACCACGTCCTCGGAAGCTTCCCAGTGAAGCCATAGTCACCAAACAACACATCAGTCACGCCTCGACCTTCGGTGCCGGGGAGCCAAGCCGCCACGAGGCCGTCCATGGAGTCAACGTACGGCTCGATCACCAGCGGACGGCCGGAGATCAAAACGACGACGCATTTCACCGATCCGCAGACATTCCGAATGGTGGCTGGGCCGGGATCCGGTATGGTCAGGTTGAGGTTGTCTCCTCCCGTTTCCACATAGGGATGCTCTCCCACTACCACAATGGCGTAGGAGAAGTCGTTGGCCTTCACGTAGTCTGCTGTTGGGGCTTCCTCGTACGTGACTTTGGTGGTCGACCACTGCGGCTTTTATGGCTGTCAGGATTGTCGTTCCTGCAACAACGTAACGTAACAACCATGCATGCACGTACGTTAAAAAAAAAAATATGACCAAGTCTTCAATGTTGGATGCATTTAATTAGTAATGTCAAGAAGAACCAGCTGATTCCAGCGATTCGATTCGAGTTGTTGGGAGAGATTCAATATCGTCTATTATCGCGTTTACGTACCAGGGGTTCTATCGTTGCCACTGAATCCTTCCCATTCGATGGTCCATCCACCACACTGGTAGCCAAGATTGTGAGCGTGGTAGCCTGCGACCAGTATCTTGGGAGCCTTCTTAGGGAGTGGCAGGATACTAGTACCGTCTTTGCCGTTCTTCAACAGCACAAGCGATTTCCTCACTGCTTCTCTCGCCAGTTCTCTATGCTCCTGTTTAAAAGTAGCTAGTGCGTGTATTATGATATGAATCTCCAATTCGAACCTACTTAGAAAGGAAAGGCAAGGATGAGTAACTTACTTGCTTGCCAAGCTCATTGACCATGCTATCGTCAGCCATTGGGTTGTCAAACAGGCCCAACACGAACTTAACTCTCAGGATTCTCCGTACGGCGTCGTCGATCCGGCTCATCGGTATCACCCCTTTGTTCACCAGTAGGGTTAGGTCATCGATGAACTCCGTGTAGTTTAGTGGAACCATCACCTGCAAACACATTAATGATGAGTTGTTATTATCATCAGACAAAATAAGCTGCATGCATGCATGCACGCATGTTTACTACGTCGAAACAGATGAAGATTGGAGTTATCATGGTATATACCATGTCAAGTCCAGCAGCAACTGCTTTTTCTACGGAGTAAGTGTAGTTGGCGTGTGGCGGGTCGGTGAGCCTGTCGATTCCTTGCCAGTCAGAGATCACAAACCCCTGAAACCAAATTAAAGCAACAAACAACACCAACATCGATCGATCGATCAGATTTGCCATGCAAAAACATATATATATATATATATATATATATATATATACACTCATCCATCGATGGATGGATGGATTACAAATCGTGAATGATTTTCTCAAGTACCCTGAACTTGAGAGTGTCCTTGAGGTAGGAGGTGACGAGGTTACGGTTGGCGTGCATCCGGACGCCGTTCCAACTGGAGTAAGAGACCATGACGGTGGAGACACCTTTGACGATGGAGGCGAAATAGGCAGGCATGTGGATCCTTCTCAGGCCGTTCCAGTCGATGATGGTGTTGTTCTCGTTGATCCCCTTCACCGTCCCGCCGTCGCCCACAAAGTGCTTTGCGCACGCTGCCACTTTCCTCCTGTATCAGTATCAATCAATTATTTCACCCCCTCCAAGAATGTTAGCCACTACTTTCTGCCTCCCTTTTTTTGATTTTTTTGAACATATTTGTTGTTTGTGTATGTTTTTTTTAAATGACATTTGTGTATGGTTTTTGTCCTCATGTATAAAGGCAATTAATTAACTAATAGGTTACTCAAGTTAGCTACTAGAAATCACAGGTGTCGATAAAGAAAAAAAGGGGGTTTTTTTATAGGAAGCTAATGCCCACATAAAAAAAATGGTGCGCGCAGATCTTTCAACTTAAAAATCATGCACCCAATTTGTGTTATAAAAAAAAAAAAAAAAATCCAAGCAGGCAAGCACCCAATAACCCAAGAAAAAGAAACGTACACGCATATATACATCATTCATTTGGTGAAGGAGACAATCGCAAGTGGGCAACTATGGTGGTGCTTTATCAGTAAACATAACAAATCGACTGAATTTAAACCTAATCTAAATAAGCCAACAAGCCGATCAAAATGAAGTACCAATCAATCAAAATAATGAATTAGGGTAATTTACTCTTAATTAACGCTACCAATATTAGTTGTAGGGATCACAATTTAAATCATGGGGTGGGCTTCCCCTAGCTCCTACCCTTTAAATAAAAAGAAGAGAGCAAATTAAATTAATTAATAATATATATATATATATTGGATTGGAGACTTACTTTCCAGCAACATAAGGGACTCCCTTGCGGGCGTCAGCAGGAACATCTCCTTGCAGGCCTGGGATTAGCTCCGTCATTGCTTTCACTATCTCCGAATCCTCGCTGTAGCTCTCGTAGCACCGCCCCCATCTCGGATCTCTGCACACCTGCAAACGTAACGTAACGTAACTCCACATTATTCTTTCTGTCAAAGACCGATTCTTACGCATATTATTAACGGAACATCACAGGATAGACTTGAATTAAACCTAATAATGAACTCACCGCGATACAGGGCGCAAAAGCGTAAGGAATTCCGGTGGCTCTCATTTCCAGCGCCGTCGCTGCTCCTATCTTCTTTACCAGCGCTGGCTCTCTGTCCAAAACAATCATCCAGCTCATCACGCGCCGCCACAAATAATAAAAGGAAGGGGGGATCGGAGTGATGAAATTGAAAACTGATCACTCAGTCACCTGGTAGCTCCGAGGCCGATGTTGTGAGGGAAAATGGTGGCATTGTACACATTGTTGTGACCATGAACGGCGTCGATCCCGTAAATCAACGGAATCCCTAGCCTGGTCGACATGGCGCCGCTTTGGTACTCGTTGACCATCTTGATCCATTCCTCCGGCGAAGCTTTCTGGCCCGGGACGCTTCCTCCTCCGCTCAATATACTTCCTGCATGTCCCTCCAACCAATAAAGTTGCAGTCTTTTTTTTTTTTTTGCCCTAAAAAAAACAGAGCAGAAGCAGCTCGATCTGTTTTTTTCTTATCGTCGTCTTACCGATGAAGTAGTTTTTCACGACGTCAGCTGAAGCGACTTTGCGATCAATCTGAACCATCTGGCCGATCTTTTCCTGCAATGTCATCCGCCCCATCAAGTCCCTGATCCGGCCCCCCATCGGTTTCGTTGGATCTCTGTAACGCCGGTACTCTGCATCTGCCGCCTCCAAAAACAGAGCAAGCACTAGTATTCCAACCACCAAAACCGGACTCTGTTTTTTCCTCGTCGCACCGATTCGGATCATTCCCATCGTGACGCGGCCGCCCGACACACGGATTCTGAACAATGGGAAAATGAAAGAAATCAGAAAAAACACAGGCACGAGTGAGGCGAAGCTCCGGAAAGAAGTTACACGTACGGGGGAAAATTACAGAGAAACGTCCTAAACGAGAATACAGGAGGAACTGAGAGTTCAGTTAAGTGAAGGAGTTGATGGAGATGGGATTGAGATGGTTTGTTTGCACGAATCCACGTATATATAACTACTGATCTTCTTGTATTTTTTTTATGTTTCAAGATAAATACGCAATTGGATTGAAAGTTATATTTGGTGGGTTTGAATAGGTAATCCTCACTCGTCAGCTACCGTTTTTCAGTTTGCTTCTTATCTTGTTTTCTTTTACTTTTCCCATTCCGCTCATTTCTTATCATTTTGTCCCCACTTTTGGTGGGGGATGTTTATCCTTGCCTAACATAAGAAAAATAGGAAAATCTACTATTATTATTTACAGCAACGTGAAGATATTGGAAGGGTTGTAAAAAAAAAAAAAGATATTGGAAGGGTACTAAACAGATCATCACAAGAAGGGGAAAAAATAAAAAAAACCGTTTAGCTTTTTGTTATTGGGTGCAATCAACGGACAATATCCACATTTTTTAAATACAATTTTTAGTTCATATGTGACATTGACCTTCACATCAATCATTTTCACTACATATCGATTTCATTTTCACTACATGAATGAAATTCACTTTCTATTTTATATGGTCCACGCAACTAATTTTTTTTTAATACAACTATACATTTTTATCTATATTTAATACTTTATTCTGATCCGAACTATACCCAAGTAATCAAATTTGGCCTATAATTTTAGAAATTGCTATCCTGACCTCAATTATACACAATATAGACTAATTTGGCTCGACTCGTGAATTTTCGTCAAATTAGACGGCCAACATCATTAACCGTTAGTGAATCAACATGCTATGAATTTTCGTCAAATTAGACGGCCAACACCATCGACTCGTGATTTATCTTCTTCTCCTTCCTTCCTAATCCTCTGCTCCTCACTTACTGTATACTTCGTTAAACCCTACAATCTCATAGAGTGGAGCCCCTCTTACAAATATGGAAATCTCCATATCTGCCAATGCCAGGAGGGATTGAAGAAACATCGCAACGGCGGCGATAATGAATCATGCTATATATGTTATCCGTCACTCCTTCTTCTTCCTCTTCTGCCTCCACGCTAGCGTTGTTCTCTCATTTCATCAACCCTTCGCATCATCGTCTCACTCCCTCCCCTCTCGTCGGTGTGTCAGAGTATCCATTCCTCGTAACTCAGCCGCTTAGGTCGGCTAGTTCCGCTGTAATCCTGGCTGGAGCTGTTGCGGCTGGGTATGTTTTGGGGCTGCAATTCGGAGGGAACCACCACAACCCTTTAAATAAACATCTGACGATAATCAGGATAAACCTCGAACGCATGAATAAAAACCATAATCCTTTCAATGCACACGTAAAAAAACAACTAAGTAAACCATCCAACAAAAACAGAGAAATCACACTAATAACATAAATCACCACACCAAAAACAGAAACTGAAAGCACTCACATCTTCTATTGTTGAACACCTTCCAATTTGGTCTCTAAATGAGGTAACTTTGGAACATCTCCTTCAAGCTCCTCTATAACTCTTTTCTCTTTTCTACTATTGACATTCCCATTCTGCATCACTTGAGTTGACGTTTTTGCTTCATTCTCTACTGCATTTGCATGATAAATTAAATATGTCTCTGGATCAGTACTTCAAACATATTGGTAGCTTCACTATACAATCTATGCTTGCATGTAGGTATCGGAAGCTTCCGGCAACAGTTCGCCTGGTCAAGAATCGAAATCTGAAACATATACAAACATACAAAAGTCAATAACCACCACGGAAGCATACCAAAAACCTTTTACCATTCACCACAAATATAGGAAAGCATCCCACGGTAGGGGGGAAAGTGAAACCAAACCACAAACAATCTGAAGCACATCACTTGGGTACTTTGAAGGTCATTGCACAGCTTCTACCATACTATGATTGAAATTATCAGCCACGTGCTTACAAAAATTGTACTTAATAAAATCATCAAGTATATCATATTGCAAAAATCGAAGATAACTAAGGTTGGCCTTCTGATTGGCGATGGGACACAGCAACACCTCCATTGCCTACAAAACAAACAGGTCCCTCCAGTTCTTCATGTCCTTCTCTTCTTCCCAACAAATCTTGATGTTGCCAGAGTTTCTTTCCCTTTCCTCGTGTTGGATAGTCCTAATTTAACACCTAAGGCATTTCTCTATGCCTTAAAAGCAGCCAAATCAACATCATAACCCATAAATCCTGTCCACATACTCCTCTCCCATTTTGAAGATGAACAATGCATGCCAGAAAAATCAAGGACGAAAACAACAGAACGCATACCTAAAAACTAAGTTATAGTGAACGATGTAACACCCTAATTAACCCGGCTGGTACTACTTTTACTAAAATGCCCTTGATAAATAAAATATTCCAATCTTAAATTTCAGCGAGAAGAATTTTCATAAATAAAATACTGAAAAACACACACTTGGAGTTTAAAGCAACGCCCTAACACAAGGGCAAACTCAATACTTAAAATCTCAACATGATCTCCAGTCTATACTCATAATCATAAATGTAAATAACTAATAATCTCTAATGTTGTTGCTACTGAAAACCTTAACTAAGCATCCTCCGTGACGCTTATACTGCTCTCCTCTAGCTACCTGCCCTCGAACTCGCTGCTCACTAACGACTCCTCTAGCTCTTCAAACTGGTGAGTGAGATGGGGTCAGTCTACGCCCTTACGTTTAACATCTTATTAGTACTTGATCACTTTACTTAACTTAGTGGAAGTTGTTTTGTACTTCCACCATTAAAAACCTTGACTCTTAAAACTGTATCCTTAAAGCTCAAATCTCCACTTAAATTTTTGACTGACACGGGGATCCCTCACTAGCTAGTCCGGTTGCCAACTCATACGTATGAGAAGCCATCATGACTTTCCTTAAACTTATCGTGGAAGACTCTCTTTCCACGATTCTCAAGAGCATAACTGCTGCTCATCTTAAAAGTCTCAAGAGCATAACTGCTGCTCTATCTCAACATCTCAAATGGCAACGGACTGGTGCTAGTGACTAAAAACTCTTAAAACGATTTCACCTTCTTGAAGGTGAATTATTTCTTTAAAAGAACTTGTTTCTTAAACTTTAACAATAACTTATACTTAAGAAAATTTCAAAGCAAATAACAACCATTCACTTCAAGTCATAATTCAAACAAGGCACATATCATCAACCGTAATCATGCAATCTCAAACATGAATCAAATAATGCACATACATAACGTAAATCAATACTCGAAAAATACTCAAGGAGGAAAATTCTTGAAGAACAGGTAAGACATGACCTATAAATCCTTCCCACCATTCATTGGCAACCTCCAATGTTTTGGTGGTTTCTTAACCCCTCACATCACCTATGCACCTTGGACGTATATCGGAAAAATAACTATCTACATTATTCGGTATACGAGACGTTAATGCTTCTCTTGAACCCCAAGGTTACATATGGCGGATTATCCTCTATCCAGTCAGATGGTAAAACTCCTTTAACGTAACTCTCGTCCGGAGTTGACCTCATAGGTCACCTAGGTCCTTGTATCTCCTAACTTTGCATTTCTTACTTTCTTTACTCATGACCATTCTTCCTGATGTTCCTTGCTAGTTCTAGATGTCCCTCGTCCTCGATGTAGTCATCTGGGTGCCCATATTCTCTTTTCACTTAAGTAGCTTGACCGATAAGGTTCTTGCTTCGACCATTCTTGAAAACCATGATTCCATCTTAAAAATGATCGAAATTTCGCGATGGACTTCCCAGGGATCAATTGTTATCTACTGGTAGTCAACCTAATGCTTCTTTGTTGTTTGTTGCATTCCTGCTTTGGCATGTCTTAGCTATCTTCCTTGACGCATACATCGCCCGGTCGATGACCACCATTTTCTTTCTATAACGTCCTATGGTGTCCTCTTGCTTCTTTACTTTTACTGTCCTTCTGTTGTTGCTTTGTACTATATTTGGTTACCAACCACCGTTGAGTATCTTCTCATTTTTTTTTTTTTGGGTCCAAGCTTCCAATAGAGGATTTCCCTTGGTAGGATTTAACATACCTCATTCACGTCATTGTCCCGATTGATGCTTGTATATGGCCTTAATCCCTTAGTCTGGGTTCTTAGTGGCTTAACTGAACGTGTTCTTACTTATCCTTAACTAACCGCTTCCTCTAGATGACATCCTACTATGCCGCTCTCACCCAGAGTGGGGCACCTTGGATAATGTAACTTAATGATTTCCTCCTTCCCGGTAATGCTTTTCCTCGTCTTGCTCCACTATGCAGTTTCGTGAACTCGAGTCACCTACAGAAATTCTCAATCCTTTATCGGAACTTCCATGTGCTTCCTCGAATTCTCTATCATTCATTAGAACATTTATTGAACGTTCCAGTTACTTGTCTATACTCGGTTGGCTTAATGACTTACTCCTATAGCTAGTTTCGAGACTTCAGCTCTTAGCCTTCTAGTACCAACTTATTAGAGAGGTTCCTCCTTATGTCACCCCTCATGTACCCTAGTCGGCTAGGTGCTCCCTCCATTTAGGATAGGACAATCCCATAACAGATCATCGTGAACTCTTGCATTCCCCTTTCAACGGTCCCAACATCCTCTTGACCCTTTTGTGATCTGGGTAGTTTGTAGGGTCTCTAATAACCTCTTTCTAACTCGGGGTTATCTTGGTATCCAACTCACGCACTGCAGAGAAGCGGTTCTCTATTCGTACTACCATTTACTAGCTAACTGTTATTCCCTCTCACATTCCACGTCTTTTCTTATGTATTGACTCCCCACTGTCTTCTACCAGGCATGCTTTAGACTTTGGTGGCACTTTCCTCCACGTCTCGTCCAATGGTGGTCGTACCGAGACCATAACTTGTCCTCTACATCATTTATCTCGTTGCTTGTCTTGTTCCTTCTAAAGGGTTTTCATCGGCCTATCTTCCCAGGGTTATATACCATCATCTCGAGTGACGTAGTTTATCTACAAGGGTTCCTTTATCGTCATTATGTAAATGACCATGACTCCTCTCCGTCTTGACCTTTTGACTTCTTGACGTCCTTTCATACCCCCTGTAACCTACTTATTTCCTCATTTGCTTCATTTATACTACCCTAGCTTCTCTTGAAGGCTAAGCTTTCCACTGCTCCTTGTCACTGTGTTGTAATAGCGTTGACCACTAAAACTAGTTGAGGGAATTCTCGTGGTACCTCTTTGTTTCTTAACTCGCCACTGCTTAGGGTCAAGGACCCTGAAATTCTCCCATCATTATAGTTGCGGACATCTAGTGATTGTAGCTCTTTCTTCGGAGATTCATAGTTCTCCTATTTGTTTATCTTAACCTATTAGATCGTTTGCTAGTGGCTAAGTAGAAAATTCCTTGTAGTGCTCCTTCAACTCCTTCAAATCCTCGTACTTATACCTTGGATATCCCTTCGTGATTGGCACACTTTTTATTAGGACTAAAGTTATTTATCTTAATACGATTAGAGTAGACTGGAGATTCTATAGACACTTAAAAGGATACCCTTGACTCATTTTCCTTTTCTCTAAAACAACATCTTTAAAAACTGACACCGACATTCTAGTATTCCTTGGAAACCAAGGAACAGAGGAAGACAATTCCATCGTAGTCACTTAAATTAGATTAACAGTTTAAGTTTGGTCACTAACCGTTAGTCTTCGTTAACTTTTGCTGATATGGCGGTCAACTCTTATAGTTGACCGTTAAATAAGTGACGTGGCAATTAAAATATAATAAAATATAATTATTTTTTTTCTAACTAATTATTATAAATTAAAAAAAATTCCTAATTCTTTTCATTATTATTTTCCACCTCTAGCCGCTGGATGCCGAATTGGTCTCTGTCCACCGTTCCTCCATCGCCAGCAGAGCTTCTAGGTCGTCCACAGTTTCTGACGAGGAGGAATCCGATGGCAATTTCATCGTCGAGAAGACTGCGTCGAGCTGGGCGTCGAGCATGTTGGTGTAACGAAGCTTGGTGTTCGGATCTAGAACCCCTGAGTTTGGGCCGAAACAGGGCGTAATCGAGAGTCTCCTCCGAGCAGCCGAAGAATGGGTAAGGGTTGATCATGAAGGGGGAATTCCTAGATATGAGGAAGCCGAGCATAGGTTTTAGGATGTGGACGTCGTACCCGCCATGGAATTTTTCGGCTGACGGAGGGGTCGAAGCGGAGAGGATTCCGAGCGATTGAGGGGTCGAGATTTGTATCTGGCGGTCTAGGGACGCTCCGACGAGCGCAGCGTGGAGCGTCTGCATCCCCGGGACGAGGGTTCCGATGATAAATCTGTTTGCTTTGGATAAAACCTCGTTACCGACGAGGATCCAGACGAGGTTGGTTGCCGGGAAGTAAGGCTGGATGTAGGATTTGATCCATTGCTGGGCGAAGGCGAGGGATCTGGTCGTTCGGAACCGTGACGGTGAGCTAGATGCACGTGTGAGCGGAGGCCTGTATTATTTCCGGGTTCAGGTCGAATATCCGAACCCTGTTAATCACTGTGGACTGTAGAAGAAACCTGGCTACTTCTAGGATGGCAACAAAAACCGAACCCATGGGTACCCACCCGACTCAACCCGGTCAACGCGGGTAAAACTCATGTTGACGAGTTTTGGGCCGGGTTCTGGTTTAAACCCGCTACACTATTCACTGGGTCGGGTTGGGTTTGTGTTTAGGTAAACCCGCCTCGTGGGTACCCGCCCACACACATATAATTATTTTCCCAATATATTTAATATTCTAAATAATATATCTTCCTTAAACAACTAATATTCTTTATGTTTGTGGAGACATGTATAATTTGTTTTTTCTAATTGTTTAGAATGAAGTTGATATGATGAAGCGGAGAGTGAAGAAACTTAGTTGACGAGGAAGAAGCTTTCAATTAATCTTATTGTTTATAAATGTTTATCTTTAATTTTGAACAATTTGTATTGATCATTTGCGGTTTGCTTGTATGCTCTAGATTGGTGTTTTTTGTATGATTAATTTGTATGAGAAAATTGATGTTAAACTTTTATTTTGAAAGAAACTTGTTATTGTAAATTTTTACCAGAAAAACCCACGGGTACCCATGAACCCGCGGATACCCAGCGGGTTGGGTTTGAGTTTTTCAAACCCAATGAATTTTACCCCGGATTTTTCTGACGGATAAACCCATGGATTTGGGTTTGACAAAATCCGCCCCACCCGATCTATTGCCATCCCCTAGCTACTTCCCCTTACAGAGGGAGGTCGTCGGCGACAATGCCGTAGTTCACCCTGATGCTACCATTGGTAGCGAAGACGAGAATGAAGAGGAGAGTGGAAGCTATTGGGACATGATGAGGAGACGAGGAACTGTCCATCACCATGGCTCTCGAGCAGTGGAGGTGGGTTGTTGTGGCAAATGGTCACGAACAGCCGCCATGGATGAAGCTTGGGGGGATGCTTAAAGTTTTAAGAAGTCATTAGAGAGATACTTTACGTGGACGACCTAGAAGCTCTGCTGGCGACAGAGGAACGGTGGACGGCGACCAATTCGGTATCCCGCTGCTGGCGGTGGAAAATAATAATTAAACAATTGAGATTTTTTTTAAAATTTATAATAATTAGTTGAAAAATAAAAAATAATTATATTTTATTATTGCCACGTCACTTATTTAACGGTCAACTATAAGAGTTGACCGCCACATCAACAAAAATTAATGGAGACTAACCGCCAGTGACCAAACTTAAACTGTTAATCTGATTTAAATAACTACGTATGAAATAAATTAATTTTAGTTATAAACGTGTACTTGTTAATTAATTCTAATGAACAAATTTGCAATTTAGCCTTAAAATTCCTCGTTCAAACTAGGGTGGGCATTGGGTGGGTCGGGTGGATTTTGACCATAAACTGCACCCACCCGCGCTTAAATGGATTGATAATTTTTAACCCACCACCCACCCACATTTAGTCTCGGGTTGGGTCGGGCGGATGGTGGATGATGCGGGTGGGTTTGCCCACATCACAATTTATATAATATAAATGAGTCAACTTGACATGATAATAGGTGAAGAGAATCATCGAGGGAAACCAGAAGTTGAAATAGGGCGAAAAAATGTCGAATTAGTTCTTAAATTGGATAGAAATTCTATATGAAAGAGTTTTCTACAGATTGAGACGATTATTAGGTGCAAGGAACTAAGGAAAATAATTCCACAAAGGAAAGGCATTGATCTAGGCACAAGAATTAGGGAAAAAGTAAAGGGAGGAAGAGGGGATCTCTATTTGGAAGGTTGGCTTTGAGGTTCAAAACTCCAGGAGCAGTCCGAGTTTATATCTAACGTCTCCACTCTCCTCTCTCTAGCGCCAACGACTTTGATTTATTTTTTTTGCTGTTGGGTTGAGCGGGTCACCCGCCACACTCACCCACAACCCATCCACCACCCGGCGGAATGGCTCCCAGCGCAACCCGTCACCCACCCACAGACCCACCCACTTTAACGAAATTCGGGTCAAATGCGGGTGGGTCGGCCCAAACCCGCGGATGATCCGCCCGCATGCCCAGCCCTAGTTCAAACTACGCACCGCTAATTTCTGACCAATCACCGCCTCCTAGAGTCCTAGTTCATATTTCTCCGTTAAACGTCTTTTGTCCGGAGAGAGATGCTGATCCTCTCGTCCGTCCTTTAATCCACGTGTCGCCCCGACAGCTCTTTCGTGACACGCTCAACGTCTCTGACGTGGCGTTTAGGCGTGGTTTTCTTTGGGAGGAGGCGTGTTTCCGTCGATTGCCCGTTACGGTGACGTCCGTTTCCTTTGGCTACCCCGTCCGTCTCCGTTACAAATTGTGGTACTGGTATATTCGCTGGTTCAATTCCTTTTCATCTTCCTTCAAAAAAAAAAAAAAATCCTTTTCATCTTGATCTAGGGTAACCAGAGAAGCAAGGGAAGAAAAACAAAATCAAAGCCACGGTTTGAGAGCGAATCTCCCCGCTTTCTTTTATAGTTAGCAAATCCTCTCTCTTCACTTTTCTTCTCCACACCTTTTTCCTTTATTCTTCTTCCCCCCTCTCCTTTTTCTCTGTATTTTTTAATCCGTTCTTGTACGCTTCCTCTCTCTCTGTCTCATCTTCCAGTAAAAACACAAGTCCTCAGGTAATGTGGAAAATAAAAATTCCATCTCCGATTGCTTGCGTTCCTCCTTCATTTGGATTCAGTTTCGGGGTTGTGTTCTTTTGTCAGAAATCTGAAGGTTCGTCGGATGGATGATGCCCCAAATTGGGTAGTTCATTTCCATTGGCGAAATGAATCGTTATTTTTGTTGTTTTGTACTTAGTGTGGCATTTATGGTGGGAATGGGTCTCTAGCGATGCTCTGCTCTGCTCTTTGGAGCCATTTCAGGGATAAATTAGTTTCCGTGTTCGTTTTGCATTCGATTTTTATGACTTCTGCTGTGGTTGATGTCGTCTGCCAGTTATTGTTGGGTGTAATTTGATTTTGTCGCATCTGCCTTGATAGATTGGTAGGCTGGATCTCTGCAATATTGGGCGTTTCTGGTGTGAAGGGTCTGTTCAAGATCGAGTCTTTTCATTTGGGTTCTCTGTGATTTCCACGATCAGTTGTCTGTGATCTATGGAGCTAGCTTTGTGAAGCTTTACGTGGGTGATTTCTTAATGTTTGATTCCATCCCCATTTCGGTATGGGGTTACCATGTTAAGGTTCTTTGTTCTATTGTTGAGCTTTGTGTCTTGCAATTTTAATGGGGAATGTTTTTTCAGATTTTCTGTTTCATTGTAAGAAGCTGATTGAATGTTTATTAGAGCAGCAATGTCTAGATCTTGTTGTCCTAGTTACTTCTTTTTTCCCTGTTGCTAAACTTGTTACAATTCCACTGTGCTCGTATCTTTGCTTGCCAAGAGAGGGAATGAAATGGTAGTAACTTCAATTGTAGGGAACAAGGATATTTGCATTGGAAGATAAAGAACAATTTACCCTCTTTTTCTCCCCTTTTATTTTATCCAAATGTACGTATAGATCTTGTTGTCCTAGTTTCTTCCTATTTCCCTGTTGCTAAACTTGTTATGATTCCACTGTGCTCATATCTTTGCTTGCCAAGAGAGGGAATGAAATGGTAGTAACTTCAATTGTAGGGAGCAAGGATATGTGCATTGGAAGATAAAAGAACAATTTACCCTCTTTTTGTCCCCTTTTATTTTATCCAATTGTACGTGTAGAGAATTGAGGCTGAATGCTTTTAAGACTTAAATCCATCCTACTTCCTTTCATGTTGTCATTCCGGTGTGTTAACTTGTTCATTTCCATCTCCTTTTGCATATACCTATCATACTGACATGGGAATTGTTCGTGCAGTATCTGGAGGATGTGGCGAGGATGTTTCCATTATCAATGAACTTTCATGGGAGCTTGTCAATGGTTGCTGGAATTACTGTGTATTGATGACAGTGATCTTGACGAGAATGATAGTTTAAAGATTTTTTTTGAATCCTTATGTTTTAGAATGGAACTCTTCATCATTTTACTGGAAGATTCGTGACAGCGAGGAGAAATAATCAGTCATATTGGTTTATTGTTTAGGTGATTCATGTTATGCAGCCTCTGCTTTGCCCTGTAAATTATTCGCGGAAGGGTGTGTGATAGTTATAATTGCACTGTAGATTAGGTGTAAATATACGATTGTGAAGTGTTAGGGATAGGACTCTTAGATAAGTTCATAATAGGTAGATAAAATTGAGAAACTAGTTATGTCTCAAGGACAAAAGCAACCTGTACAAGGTTCTGCTCGGAAACTTTCACCTTCGACTTCTCAGAAAGATCTGTGGTTTATTGTACGAGAAGGGTCCTTGGCTGATGTAGATTCTGCTTTGGCACTGCTAAAGAAAAATGGGGGCAATATTAATTTACGAAATGCAATGGGCCTAACACCCCTTCATATTGCAACTTGGAGAAATCACATTCCCATTGTCAGGAGGCTGCTTGCTGCTGGTGCTGATCCTGATGCTAGGGTATGTTACTTCCCCTTTCCTTAGCTGCCTTCAGTTCCTCTGAGAACAAGGAAGTTCTCGACTATCTTATGTCATCTCATTACTTCAGTGATCGCATTTGAAATATAAAATGTACTTGTTAGCCTGGTTTGTCGTGAGCTATTTGGAGATGGTCCAGTTCTGTTGTCCTTCAAATGTCATATGCTGGAAATGGGTGTATAGCACTCAAGTGTTGCTCTGACCCTCCTCGGATGATTCTCCATAAAATCTATTTCAGGATGGAGAATCAGGATGGAGTAGTCTTCACAGGGCTCTGCATTTTGGTCATCTTGCAGTTGCAAATGTGCTCCTTCAGTCTGGAGCTTGTATTACTTTGGAAGACTCTAAATTCCGTACACCGGTTGATCTCTTGTCTGGA